ACGTCATTTTTACAAATAACGCAGATGAAATATTCTCGTAATACAACGGAATAATACGTTGTATATTAACACACATATTTTTAACCACTCAATTCTTTTGTATTTACATATCCAGCATCTAAGCTTCAATTTTTTACATTCATACCACCTTTTTTATGCATGCAAAAGTGTCCTTTACATTGTAGGAGTTAATATAGTAATATTTTTATATGATATGAAATATTTAGCGGGTACAAATGTGGAAAAATAAGCCTTAGGTGCTTTATATATAAATAGATAAGAATTGGGTGGAATGTATTTAAATGCCCCTAAAATACAATGCAAAGTAAAATCATATATCTATAATATAGAAGCATTTACATACATGCTACATATATTTTATGTATTTACATGTCAAGCACGTATAATTTTACTATTCACATTTATACCTCCGAAGACTTTCACATCGCATAAAAAATTATTATTTTAACTTTTAAAATGTGAAATACATATTTTCTTGCATAAAAAAATGTGATATATGTAAAACTAGAAGTTTATGTATTAAACATGTAAATATATATTAATTGAGTGGTAAGTAGATAAATCTTTTTATACTACATTATCAATGTTTTATTGTTTGTTTTTCATGAATTCCATAAACATTTGATGATTCACACCTAAACTTCAATTATTAATATATGTCACCATATCTATGAGTGTGTATTTCACGAGAGTAGAAGGTAAAAAATTTAACATCTCAGATATGTAAATACGGAGTATTTGGATGATATGTCATAAATCTCCTCTTTTGCCACGTTTATAATCCGAGAAAATATTATGTGTGAATTAGACGAGTATCAGTAGTATTTTGATGGTATTGTACCGCAATACTACCAAAATTACACATGAAAATATTCTAATGATATTTGTGATGGTACGTAGAACTAGCATTGTTTTTGAGAAAATTTTGCGTACGTCATCCGTACACGAACTATATAAGGACAACGGGCGTGATACACCGACGAGATTTTTCTTTGCCTTATTTTTTAAAAAAATTGTGTCTGGTGGGGGAAAATTTCTTTCTAAAAAAAGGGATATTTCTACAAATTTGATATTTGAGGAGGGAATATATCTAAAAATTTGAATTTGAGAAGTGCAAGGTTGAATTCTGTTTGCCCGAAAATTATTATATCAAGACTTCTAATATATTTGGAGTATAATGATAATGGTAGGGCACCACGTGTCACGTGAGACCACACAATTTACTCTACTCAAACTATCCAGGAGTTCATGTAATATTTTCTCCTGTTTGCCCTGATAGCTCCTGATCGCTTCTTCTTGGCTGGCGCCTACGGAGCAGCAAGAGCCAAAGTGGACTAATGGCGACTACCACTGGCGGTTCTTTAGTCGG